TCTTGGCCTAGCCCCCCAACCCCCGTCCCCCCAGGTGTGGGTCTACGCCCGGCTCTACCGCACGGTGCCCCGGTTCCGACGCCCCGAACTGCTGGAGGCCGCCCGGGCCGGTGAGCCCCACGGGGGGGGGGGAAGCTCGAGGCCCAGTCTGGCCCTAGTTGGGGAATCAGCTGACTTGGTGTCACATGACCAGCCCCATGGTGGGGGCTGTGGCTACTGAGAATGTGTGTGTGGGGGGGTGGTGATAATTGGGGGGGGGGAGCCAGGATGCCTGGGTCCTTTTCCCCGCAGGCTGGAGGGGGGAGGGGGACAGGATGGGGGGGGGTGGGAGTCAGGACACCTGGGTCCTTTTCCCCACGGGCTGTGGCGGGGGGGGCAGGATTGGGGGCGGGGACCGGGAGCCAGGACGCCTGGGTCCTTTCCCTGCAGGTGGGGAGTTCCTGCTGCGCTGCGCCCGTGTGGGGCCGGGGTCCCCCAAAGCCGCCTTCGCGCTGAGCCGGGACGGGCGCCCCACCAAAGTCCAGCGCAGCATCTTCAGCGAGTGCTTCTGCGCCCTGGGGCTGGACGAGCTGGGGCGCGCCACGGGGGAGCCCCGCTACCAGGTGAGTGCCCCGGACGCCTGGGTCCTCTCCCTGCTGGTGGAGGTGGGGGAGAAGGGGGCGGGTTCCCGGACGCCTGGGTTCTCACTGCCCGTCCCCCGGCAGCGGGAGGCGCGGGTGCTGCTGGAGGCTGTCGTGCGCTGGGTGCAGGACGACCCGACGGAGCTGGGACGCCCCCTGCTGGCCGGCGCGACGCCCCACGAGCCGCTGGCCGTGCCCATGATGCTGCTGTGTCTGGCTGAACAGCTGGGGGACGGCGCCGGGGGGCCCCTGGCCGAGCTGGAGGGGTGGTGCGCCCAGCACCTCCTCCGCCACCTGCAGGTATGGGGGGGGCTGAGCCCCCCGACTTTCCCCAAGCCCCCCACACACCACCAAACCCCAGCACCTCCTTCGCCACCCCCACACACCCCCAAACCCTGGCACCTGCAGGTATGGGGC